CTGCGAAACTGCTTTTTTTTTTTTTGGCTCCGCCGCCATTTTTTTTTGCTCCGCCCCCCCCGCGTCCCGATATTTCATCCCTGTGGTCTGGTCACCCTACATCACTTCATTCTTATAGCTCCTTGACTGGCACAGCAATCAGAGCCTGGCACCCCCCGCTCTCCCCAAACGTGGCACCCCAGGTGGTCACCTGCCCCTAAATCCAGCCCTGAGGGCACAGGAACAGGCTGCTACGAGAGCCCTGATCTACGTGCACCTCCTGGACTATCCCTTATTTCCAAAGGATGCGGTCTTATACCCCTCTCCCCAGTGGTACATTCGTGTTCCCCCTCTCTCTATTCCCCTGTTGGTACATGCAAGCTGGTTGCCGTACTCCGCGGCTACTGCTGTATTCTGGCTGCGCGACCGGAACCAGTCTAGGGTAAATCGGAAGTTACGCAGATACCGGTGGGACGGGTTGCGCTGTTCCTATAGAGCTGGTCGATATTCCCCAAACTGTTTAAGGCAGGTCGGGGCGCGTGCCGGAGGGGCGTTACGGAGATAGCGTAGGGAGGCCCCGCTGACCGTCAATTGATTCCTGCTGCTAGGACGTGGCGAGTCCCAGGCAGAGACGCCTGAACTAGAAGGCAGGAGACCCCCGGGCAGCTGGGCTGGGGCCAGACCCGCCTGCCGGGGGCCGCCGCGCCCCGAGCCGGACAGCTGGAGCCCCCGACCCCGGTCGCTGCCCCCTGCCCCGGCTCTCGGCGGGCGGGCCGGGCTCGGGACCGCGCCATGTGGCCCCGGTCGGTGTGCGTGGCCCTGCTGGCCCTGGCCGCGGGCTACCTCTTCGTGCGAGAGCCCGAGCTACCCGGCGCGGCGCTGCGCTACCTGGCCGGCCGCCTGTGGGCCGAGCCGGCCGAGAGCAGCATGGCGGCGGCCTGGGAGGCGCTTATCACCCGGCCCGCCCGGCCGTGGAGCAGAGTGGCCGTGGGGTGAGTCACGCAGGGCGGCGCGGCTCTGCCGGGCCGGAGCGCGGATTCCCTCCCGGGCGGAGGCCTGGGCTGGGCTCCGGTCCCTGGGGCTGGGCCCGGGCCCTGCCGGAGTCACCTCGCACCTAGTGCTCTTGGCGGCAGGGCAGTGATCAGTGCTATCGCCGAGGCAGAGACGCTCTTGCAGGAAGCTGGGGCGATGTGCAGGGCGAGCTTTGCCTATCGGGGCAGAGACCTTTGGCTGGACTCTCGGTGGGAGCCAGCCCAGAGACCGGGCAGCCGCTGTGAAATAAACACAGGCCTGCTGTGTCTTGTCCGAGTTTGTGCTTTGTCAACGGGTTGGACGTCTTTCTCTATCACCGCTCACAGCGGCGCTGCAGGAATACAGAACTGTTAAGAGGTTATGCCAAAATGCATGCTGAAAGTAGAAAATAAAGCTAGAAGTGACAGTGGGAACAGTGTCCATCCCTGGAGAGTACGGTGTTAGAAAAGAAATGTGAAAGGCATAGTGTATTGCATTTATAATCAGGGTTCTGCTGATTATGGGTGTGTTTTTGGAGAGCTGTATTTAATTTGTTTGTCAGAAGTGAAAGTTGTTTGATTTCATCCTGATCTCACAAATTGACATCAGTATTAATCTCTGCACAAGAGGTATGAGAGGAAATAGACAAGTAGGCTGTAACTCTTGGCCAGGTGTGTTGGCAGAGCTGTGTGGGAGGCCAAGACTGTACTGACTAGTGTCTTTCTGCGTTTAGAGACCACTTGTGCAGAAAGCATCAGGGCTTTTCTATTTTTGATCATAGATTTGAGAGTATGTCTTAGGGATAGTGCCCATAGATGAGCCATCAGTTTACTTTTCTGTAAAAGGGTTATAAAAGTCACAGGACTACGAAGAGACCATTAGATAAAAGGGTCTGTGGAAGAATCCTATTTATTGGGGTTGAAAACCCTTCTTGCTGAAAGTGAGTGCAAATCTTGGGCATATTAGTGGGCTGAATGGCTGTTGGAGAGCTACTGGCTCATTCCCTGGAGATAGGAGATGAGAGCAGAGAGTAAGGAGCATGTGGGGAGTAGGATGACAAAGTAGAGCACTGAGGGGGATTTTTGTGGGAGTAGGAAGGAAAGAAATTCAGATATGGAGGTAGAGAACTGCATTTTAATTTAATTTTAAATGAAGCTTCTTAAACATTTAAAAAACCTTATTTACTTTTCATACATTAGTTTAGTTATATATTATAGACTTAGAGAAAGAGACCTTCTAAAAACATTAAAATGTATTACTGGCACGCGAAACCTTAAATTAGAGTGAATAAATGAAGACTCGGCACACTACTTCTGAAAGGTTGCTGATCCCTGATGTAGAGCAGGAAAAAGGAAAATAAGGGGTGGAGGTAGAAAGCAAAAGGAAATGGATGAAGATGCAAGAAGACTCCCCAATAATAAAGAAAAGCAAGGGTATAATACAAGCTGTTAAGGCTCCTTCCCCACTTTGAACTTTAGGGTACAAATGTGGGGGGCTGCATGAAAACTTCTAAGCTTAATTACCAGCTTAGATCTGGTCTGCTGCCACCATCCCAAAGCTAGTTCCT